TTTTGTTGACCTTTGTCCATGGAAGGTCCCTGCAAAATTTCATTGAAATTGGTTCAGGGGTTTTGGAGAAGAAGTCGAAAATGTAAATTGTTTACGGACGCACGACGGACGACGGACGACGACGGACAAAAGGCGATCGCAATAGGTCACTTGAGACTTTGTCTCAGGTGACCTAAAAAGGCTCGGCTGTAACGCATCAATATTGGCCCGTCTCAGGACCAAGAACTGGGCCCAAGTCTCAGGACCAGGAACTGGGCCCAAATGTTCAAAAGGTGATTAGTTGAGTCAGTGATACGCATATCTTAAGTTTTTTGTTTTGTTTTTTAAATACAACCATTTACTGAGGTAAAAATTTCAATATAGAAATATTTTAATTCAGTAAAATTATATGCAAAAGTACAAGATTAAACCTTTCATATTACCCAAATTATCATATGTTGGAAAAAGCTGTTAAACTGTGATTACGTTAATCGCATGTGGAATAAATGGGTGCATGTCTAAGTTGGCCTCAATAATACAGATAAAAGGGATAAATAACATTTTAAATGAGATATAAAACTATTGCCGGATTCAATTTTTTTTAGGATTTAGGAATGCAGTGGACAACATATACTGGAGGAATATTAGACGTTATCAATACTTACAGTAACAGTGTCGGTGTCGGGCCCAGAACTGGGGTTCTTTATCCCGAGCTGGTATTACGTCAGGATGGGCGAGTATACTGTTATAAAGGTCAGAGGTCCCACACTTATTCTGACCGAGCAACATGAAGAATGGTAAACAGCGCAAGGTAGGTACACTCGTGTTCCTGTTTTCGTACCAGCACGGGTTCTTGAACTCGGGTAAGAAGGTGGGAGGTGTCTGAAAAGAAGGAAAACCATGTATATATTATTCTCTGCTGGCGTTAGATTTCTTAGTACCCGAAGTTTTCCGTAACCTTGATGATCAAAGTAATCTCTTTTGTTTAAGCAGCTTAAAGAATTTGGTTTTCCATCTTTCGGCCTCTAGCATCACCGATTAGCCCTAGAAGGCCGAAACAGCTGTATGGTGAAGCGTAATTAATTCATTTTTGGCATACAATATATATTACCAAGTTTTATAGGTGCACTCACATGGGTGTGTTAACATTAATCTTTGTCAGAAGTGTAAAGAACAGAGTGAATATAATATAAACTTAAAGAATGAATCCATCAGAAGGTACAGTTTTAATATAACCGCTTCGACGAAGTCGGGGTACGTCATATTTTCTTAGTACGCACGTGCGTGCGTCCTTGCTGAATGTGGTTCCCGTAGCATATTTCAGTCACTCTTTCATGATTCGGCATCATACTAAGTACATTATGGAAATGCAGTTTGTCGCATCTTAAAACCAGACCGCTGTGACTTTAATATAATGGTTCCCAGAGCACCAGAGCATATCCCTGCTGCTTTTTCTTGCATTGGCATCAAAACGGAGAAAAAGCTTGAAAAGGTACAACATATACTGGTTGTGCGTCGCATCCTAAAATTGGTCACAATGACCTCAATTTGACCACTGACCTTGACCTAAAGTACTAAAATAATGGTTTCCTTAGCATATCCCTGCTGCTGTTTTTTGCAACTGGCGCCAAAAGCTTTGTATATGTACATCATGGAAAGATGGTGCGTCGCATCCTAAAATTAGGTCATGTATATGAATGGGCTTTAAAAATTGTATACATTGGGAGGGGGGATTCGTAAAGCCCACGCTTCGAGTTAAATCTAGTTTATCTGAAAGTACCGTATTCAACGCAACGTAAACAATCTTAACCGTAAGAGGTGATTACAACCACAAATATGAATCGTTGTGTAAATGAAAAGACACGAAAGCAGTTTTTATAGGATGAAGTGTAAGTAGTCACTCCTGTAAGCTGTGTATACGAATAAATGTAATTTGTAAACAGGAGGCAGTGACATTGAAAGCAATCAAACGACACACGGCACATTGATTTTGATAGGATTGATGCAGTCAAAAACCTTTGTATGCGCTGAAGCGTGAGATCAATTTGCCGCAAAGTATCGGGATAATTTTATCGGACTGAAATAAGCCGTGAGAGATTTAAGCTATTGTTCTCTATTGTAATATATATACTAAGCAATAATTATCTGAAGTTATATAGTTCCTGTACTAGCGATATTGATTAATTATGGACTATTGTTGAGGTGAACATATGGTTATATTGACCTGAGAATGTACCTACTGAGACGAAGTCGAGGTCAATACCACTTCATCCTGTCCATATAACCACATATTTACCGAAATAAAA